AGAAACACACAGCCCTACTGAGAATTTTTAGAAATTCTCACCCTACTTCGTTTTTGTTTCATTCTCAAATTTACATGATGGACGCAACAACAGTGATCTACATTGAGTTCCCGGATATGCAGCTACACTATAATCCTCCTACCTTTGACTCTCTTTATATAGTTGGATCGTGCCGTTTTAGGATTTATTTCTTTAGTAATAGGTACTTTTCTGTACCTCTTTTTCATCCTGCATTCGACCCTGCTACTCCATATTTTGTATTTCCACTGTCCGTAACACATCCTGCTCCTGCAGATTATAGAGAACCTATATCTGCTTCGCCTTTGCGGGTGATCCTCGGAGATACGCTTGAATCTAAAAGTGACCCATTAGAAGCTACAGACTCGTCATCATCCTCTCCTGGACCTGATGACTACACTCCTGTTGGGCCTGCTATAGCCAATGGTTTTCTGTCTAAGTATTTGGTGGAGTAGTTAACTTTGTACAGTATGGCCCTCTTTTGGTAGGATAGTTTACTGGGCCATGAAAGTAGTTAGAGGATACTAATCTTAGTTCTAAATTGTCCTATGAAATCTTGTTAGGACTGCACTTTGATGACATGGTTCACTGATCTTTTTGTATGTAGTGATCCTAATATGTATTCCTGACTGTATGTAAATAACATGGTGTCATATATACATATATGTGTCTAGTTACCTTTTTGTAAAATGTATGAGTTAAATTATTTACTATGTTTATCCAGGTTATTTCCATATTCAATTTTCTTTTATTTTATTTTTATAACGTCTCGCTCTTTTATACATCCGATAATTTACTACATCTGATAATTTTTAATTAATGTAATGCAACTACTGCATTTAGAAGTTATGACTTAAGCATAAACTAAATTTAGTAGGATGTTACAAATATTGTGTGTGTGGTTGAAATGAATTATGTTGTAAATGCATGTGAGCACTTGTGTCGTGTATTGAGAATGATTATTGCGAACAAATGTGGGCCTAAAAGCCGTGTAAAATAAATGATTGTGGGCTTTGTGCCGTGAATTGTGACTAAATGCTGAAATGTGTGTGGATGGGGTGTGTTAACGCCGTTATATTGTGTTGTGAATGGTTTAGCGATACACTGGGAGTGTGGAAAATAGGGACGGTAGAAATACCTTGGGGAAGAGAGAGTGGTGGTAAAACCAACAGTGAGTGTGGGTGCACCACGGGCCACACACTTTCTTCCTGACTAGACCTCTGACCACTACCTTTGCTGAGCGACCCGTGACTGCCCACGTGGTATCCGTCAGGCAGGGGTAACCGATGACCATCCATAGTGAAAATCTGTGATCACAGTGCCCCAGTGAGAGTGGCTGGCATGCAGTGAGTGCACAGGATTATTGTTTGATAATTATGTGTGTGTAAACTGTTTAGTGTCGTGAGTGCATCGCAGTTAAAATAAAAATGAATTGAGTGGTAATGTTGCCTGTGAATATATTTATATAAATTGTATTAGAAATGATGTAAAATATGCGCAAGGTGAGACTCTATATTTGTTTGTGTAATGAGTAGTATAGAATACTCACCCTTACATTCTTTTTTCAGGTAATCAAGACGATCAGCACCGGTTTCAATGAATGGGTGGATGGAACTGTTATAAAACTTAGGATATCATTTGAAATTAATGTATTTAAATTAATCCTGTAGCAGTGATTCGATATGAATTTTGTAACCCTTTTCCTTAAATTTTAAATATTTTAATGAGGATTTTATTTGAATAAAAATGTTTATTCTCCCTATTTTTGTGAAATTCATTATTTTGGAAAGTAAAATTAAGGTGTTACAGACTTTCCATCTGTTCTCTCTAATCTTTCACTTATTACAGACTTTCCCTCTGTTATCTCTAATCTTTCACACTCTCTTCTAAAAAATTCTTTTTTAAACTTCAATCTTCCATCAAATTCGGGCTTGGAAGTTCAACCATTCAGATCCAAGTAAGTTTCTTTGAGTTTGATTCTTCAACTTCATTCTTATTTCTCCATTTTATTTGATCTAAAGGTTTGTACTTCGTAATACTCAAGGAAACCTTAACTTCTAAGACTATATCCTCTACCAGGACATTGTGTCTCTCCCTTGGATCTCTAGGAAAGCTCAATCTAAGAGACTCGTTTCCAAGTAAAGGGAGTTGATTCCAAATCCTAACTCCTTGTTGGTATTTTGGTTCGAAAATACTAAGTTTCTATTGGGACCTTAAAATATTAAGGTTTTCTTAAAAATCTAATGTGTAGGATAGAAAGTTTGACACAAAAACTCCCTTTTGAACCCTAACTTCTGTATTTTGTTTTGGGTAATAGAACTACAATGATTCTCTAAATTGTATTACTATAAAAGAAATTTTGAGTATGAGCAACCAATAATTTAATCCAAAGATCATATAAATAAAATTTTATAGTGAAAAGATGAGTAACTAAGCTTTTGGAGATTTTCTTTTTATTTTACTATTATTTACGTATGAATAAGTGATATTGAACTTTAGCATAGACCACTTTGTTATTATTGAGAAAGTGTGTATGCTGGGTTGTACGATTGGGCTGAGTCTGGAGGTGTCTGACCTCCGACACATTGTATTGATTTGTGTAGTGTGAAATTGTTTGAGGATCTTTTGTGTTAGATGAATGTTTGTTGATGACCTAGGTATGTTAAAATGGATGAAATTAGGTTATTGATGAAAAGTGTTATATTGTTGTCAAAAGAAGAAAGAGTTTTATGTATGAAATGAAATGATATGACATGATGATGGAATTGTGAGAAATGTGATTATAATATGTGAACCAAAATAGATTGATGGATGTGATTAGTGCTACATTAAAAGGGTGTACTCATAATACATGTATTGTAATATATTAAGTTATATGATCAAGACTCACGTATTATGACACGTTGATCTATGAGAAAGATATGGAAAAGAATGAAAATAGTTGAGAAATGTTGAGAGTACGTATAGATAGTTACAAAGACACACTGAGGTATAGAATTCGGAGAAGATTTGAAAAATCCTAGGGAAATAAGGGTGGTGAATGCTAATTGTAAAAAGGTGCACAATGATTTGCTGAAAGTGAAAGCATTCACAGGCCACACACTCATTTCCTGACCAGTCTCCTGACTATACCTTTGCTAAAAGGAGCTGGGTTGGCACACGTATATCTGTGTTGCTACGGCTAACTAGCAGCTATCTATGCTATAAAGTCCTCAAGGGATCCCAGGGGTAATGAATATGAAAGTGTAATGAATGTGAAATTGTTATGAACATGTAGTATAAAGATTGTATGATTATAATATATGTATTACAATATATCGATTAATGTTGTTACGATATATGTGTTGTAATACATCGACAAGTGCGATTAGGACACAAGTATTATGACATATTGATTGATGTGATAAAATATATGTATTATGACATACAGATTAGTGTAGAAAATGTATGTCATAAATAATTATAAAAATGATTGATTTGTTAGATGTATGCTCTGCTCTGATGATGATTTGTGTGTTTTGAGTGTTATTGTTAATTGATGTGTGTTAGAAATATATTAACCAATATTTCCTGCACTAAATAAATTTTATGTCAAGCAAAGAGATTTAGTGGAGCGGGAGATACTCACCCTTACTAATATCTTCAGGTAATGAAAGTGAAGAGATAAAGATAGTTGGTCCGTTCTAGGATCATCATCCAGTGGTATTAGAAGGAATGATGCTCTATAGGGACTAGAACAGTTTGAAAATTTGTAATAATTCACGTTGACTAAGTTATGTAAATATTTCTTTAATGTCAAATTTTAGAATTTATAATGTTTTGGTGAATTTTGTTGTAATAAAAACTTTTGGAGATGTTCGTAATGATATTCTGAACTTATATGTATACCACGTGAACTAGATAATGTGTTAGATGTAAATTTAAGTTTTATTTATTACTTTAAAGTCTCAAATTTATTCCTTTGAAGTTTTAAATACTTTAGAATCTTATAAAATTTTCATAAGAGGAATGTGAGTTTTGTTTTTATTCAATCCTTAAATTTATAAAATAGAACAAAAGTTCTTCTATTTTTCCTTTTTGCTATAAAATTTATTTATTTTGAAATAAGAAATTGAGGATGTTGCATGTTGTAAGGAGGAATTTGCTCTATAGACTTTAAATTGTATTAAAGTCGTGAAAGTTTTGATTAGGTCTTAGTTAGAATTAAATTTCTGATATGTAAATAATGTATGATGAATTCAAACATTGAGAGGTTTGATAAGAGTTATTGTAAATAATAATTTAAATTATATTTGTAATATTCATAAATTAACTTCATCAATCTTACTATTTTTGTGTTGAATTTTTTTTATTGAGAAAAATGCATTTCTAATATTTTTGCAAAATATCATGAAAGAATTCATTTTCAAGAAAATTTTAATATCGTTGCATTTTTATACTACTCTTTTTATCTTATAAATTGATTTTATTTCTTTTAAATATTTATGATTTAAATAGTAAAAATATTGTAAATATATTTAATTAAAGAAAAGTTTAAATTTTTTTCACATATTTATATTTCAGAAATTGAATAAAATTAATTTATTCTTTCACTTTACAATAAATTATTATTTATTTTTAGAATTCAAAAAGTAGAATGTTACATATTTAATTCTTAGAATCTCATTTTCTATTGTAATGCACTTGAAAAGAAAGGTATGGAGGAATAATTAAGGTGGCTTGAGAAAAGTTATATGTAATTTAACTTACAAGCTTTGAAAACTTTCTTTTTGTGGATTCTATGCATTTTTCTTTTGTTAGAAGTTAGCTTCCTTTTCTCTTTTCTGAAGTCTCATAGGTGGATTTATAACTCAACTCACTTTCGATTCTGTCTCACAATTCCATAATTCATTCTTTTCCTATACTCTAAATCTAGGTATATTATTTTCTTGCTACTCTCAAATACACTTCTAATTTAGTTTTGTAATGCTTGGAATTTTCTTATGTTTTCTCGAGCAAGCTTAGTTTGTTTCTTGAGCAAATATATAAAGGCTATCAAGGTGATGGAATTTAGACAATCATACAATTGACAGTTGAAACAACATATGCTATTTTTTTTTTATCTTATTCATTTGTGCACTGTAATTTTTTTTTCTCTCTCTAATAAATATGTATAGTAATTTATTGTACTTTTCTTATGCATACTAGCATTATATCCTTGATTGCTTGATAATAAATTACTTACATAATAGTGATATTAAAATTAACACAACTATTGATTAAGAGCTAGTTGATATTATAAAACTTATTTTTCTTAAATGCTTCAAGATATTACTTCTGATTATGTTTAACACATTATTTTAATTTTATATAGGATGTCTTTTGTTCTTGCAGTTGTAAACTTAATTGATAATAATGGGCAAAATTTCCTCATCTAACGAGGCTAGGACACTAGTCATAGTTGGACGTACTGGAAATGGCAAGAGTGCAACCGGTAATAGCATTATTGGAAAGAATGTTTTCAAGTCAAAGAGAAGATCCTCAGGTGTAACAAGTGTTTGTGAATCGCATAGCACTAGCCTAAAAGATGGACCAACTATAAATGTGATTGATACCCCAGGTAAAGCATGGTAACTTGTCATTTATTATAAAATTTTATATAAGATTTGAGTTAACATAGTGTGATTACTATACTTTTTTGTGACATTGCATTTTGAAAATTTTATCATACATCAATATTAAAGCTAACAAATTATGTAGGACTATTTGCTGGAACTGAGTCTATTGGGAAAGAAATAGTTAAATGTATTGATATGGCTAAGGATGGAATCCATGCTATTCTTATGGTGTTCTCTGTCAATACTCGCTTTTCTGAAGAGGAACAAGCTACTTTTCTTAGCTTGCAAGCTTTGTTTGGAACCAAAATTGTTGACTACATGATTGTTGTCTTCACCGGAGGGGACATACTAGAAGAAAATGAAGAGACACTTGATGATTATTTAGGTTTTGAGTGTCCAGAGCCTCTTAAGGTTTCTTTACATTAATATTTTGATTATTATATACTTTTATGATTTTTGTAATTTTCTTGAACCACTAAACTTTATTGTGATGTCGTTATTACAAGCTTGTTTAATAGTTGACTTCAAATTACATTCTTGTCTTTTAACTTATAATAACTTATAGTATGGTAAATTGCATTTTTTTACTTTTGTTTTATGAATAATAATGAAGCTTGATAGTTAATTATTTTATGTTAAGATTTTAGAGATTAGTTGTGATTGAAGTTGTATGCTATTTTATTTTAATTTTTTATAGACCTTAAATTATTTGATGTGGTGCATGATCTTAAAATATTTGAAAAATTTACATTGTTACTATCAACAATTCATATTATAAATATTTTATAATATATAGGACAATTTTATGTATCATATTTTCAACAAAAAAAAGTTAAAATTTATTGATTTTGAAATTTTTTTAACAATGTGACAGGATATTCTTACCCTTTGTGGCAACCGCAAAGTGCTTTTCAATAATAATCCTAAAAAAAATAAAAATAAAGAAGGACAAGTTCAACAACTTCTCCGTCTTGTGAACACAGTTGTATCTCAGAATGGCGGACTACCTTATACAAATGAGATATTTAACGCAGTGAAGGTGAAAATTTAGTAAATTTTGGAATTATTTCTTGAATATTGACAACTTATAATATATATTGATATCAATAAACTCATCACTTGACTACAGGAGAAGGCAACATTACGAGATCAACAACAAAAAGTGGCTGATTCCTTAAAAGGATATTCCAAAGAAGAAATATTGGAGATTAAACAACAAATGCAACAAAACTATGATAATGAGTTAAAACGAATTACTAATATGGTACATGTTATCTTTTTATCTTATGAGTTTACTAATTTATGATATTATTTTCTTTATTACTCTTGAAAAAATTAAACAAGTGGGTACTTTCATAAAATTTATTGATTTTGTAAAAGCAAAGTTATAACTATAAATCCATATAAAATTTCAGTGTATGCATGTGAATGCAAAAATTGGATTTTTGGAAATAACATACGCTTTAAATATTATTTTAAATAGAATAATTGCATTGAGTTTATTATAGGTCTTGTAATTATACACCATAATATCTTTTATTTTTAATAGATTATTGCATTGGGGTTATTTTATTATTTTTTATAGAAATTATTAACAAACATTGTTATTTTAAAACAAAAATATAATTCAAGGATTTACTACTACTATCTTAGTTGTATCATAAATTAATTAATAAAAATATTAAAGTGTATTTTAAATACTAACAATATTATTTTATAAATTAAATATATGAAACCAATTTTGTATCGTAAAAGTAAATTGATATTTAATTAAAATATTGACGTTAAGAAAAGAGACAAACATTGACGTTATATTACTTTATTATTTTTTTAAATAATAATATTATTGTAATTTATAGGTTGAAACAAAGTTGATGGAAGAAACTGGTAATCTTTTGAGAAAGTTAGAAGAAGAGAAAGCTGCTAGGCTTTCGGCAGAAGAGAATTATAAGACAATTCAAATTTCATCAGGTTATGAAATTGAAAAACTCAAACAAGCTCTCGAAAGAGCACATAAAAGAATCAATGATCAAGAACAAAAGCGTTGTTCAATTCTCTAATTGAAGCAACTTCTAACATTTCCATTTTACTCTTCTCTTATGTTATGATTGTAAGTATTTGTACTTATTAATGCTCATATAAATGTTGTAAATATATACTAAGGATTGATATGTAATTAAAATTATGTGTGAATTAAATTTGTTGATTTATAATTTTCCTTGGTTGTGATGGTTACTATTTTATTTTTCTTTTGGTGCATTTAGGTCATGCATAATAAGGTCTCACTTGGGTTTCATGTTTTTTTGAGTAACTTTACTTTTACAAGCTTTACATTTTATTTTTATTTTAAATAATTATCGAACTCAATATTATAAGTACCAACTTCTTGTAATAAGATTTTAGTTTGGTGTGTTGTACTTCATTTAGTTACAAAACTTTAAAATGAAATTAAACTTTCAACATTCCATTACCGCTGTTCTGATTGCTACTTAGGTGATGGTGTAGGATGCATCGAATTATATCATTTTATCATTGATATGTTACAGTCACTAAGTCGATAGAAATTGTAACTTCTTTAATTTTTATTTTAATTTGTAAAATAAATTATGACAAAGGAAGGCAATAAAGTAAATACTTTTATTTTATGGCTTAAAAAATCAAAAAAAAAAATTAAACTTACATTTCGATTATTCAATTGATGAAAACGTGAAGGTATTCAAAATTTTTAAAGGAAACATCCACAGAACTTAAATTTGTAAATAAAGTAAAAACTAAAATTTTTATTTAAAAAATTTACTTAATCTATGATAGATATATATAAATTTAAAACACAAACAACATTGTCTTCGAGCAGAGTAAATTTTTACAAAAATAAATATAATTTATAGTTAAAACGATTAACTATCAATATTGCAAATACACTTCGAATTAATATTTATAACCAAACTTATCAAAGTATTATAAAATCAAAAATAAACATTTAGAATGATTACATCACTTTGTCAATTTGAATAGAAGTTAAATAAAATATTATAATTCTTTAGAATACTCTAAACACTAATAGAGTTGTCCTTCCTTACAATCCCACTATGAATATGATTATAGGTCTGGTCAATCTTCTTTAACTCTTTTTTCAAAATCCATTTTTTGAAAATAGTTAGTAAATGTGAGTATTTTTCGCCTCACTAAATCTCTTATTTGATAGAATAATTAAATGATATTGAAAATATTATCTAACACATTTTAATATATATTAGTTAATAATAACACATAGATCATACAAATGATTATTACAATAGAATATGTACACTAAATTAATTACATTTGTAATATTCATAACATATACTACCTCTGGTTCTTTTTATAAGAAACAAAATAAAATATTTTCTTGGTCCTTATTATAAGAAACTTGTTGAGAATTTTTTTTCCTTAACGCACGGCAAGTGAACCATATTGTTTGCAAGTAATAACCAATAAGATACCGAGATATCGTCTTCAGGGAGCAAAACAAAGTGTATTAATTATTAAGATCTAAATCAATTGAGCGTATATACAAAGGGATTAATCGATGATTTTCGTTGGCATCGTATCAAAATATAATTTAAGAAAATGATCTAAAATATAGTTAAAATCAAATAAGAGAAACTGGGATTGAATTTTATCTATCTTCCTCTCTGTATTCCAGTGATTTAGAGATATATATAGTAATCATTTCCGTTGATGTGCAGCAAAATACGAAAGTCATATATTCCAATTTCTTGAAAATATATTTCTAAGATAATTTCTCAAATGTTGATTCCTTAAGCAATTTAACAAACCATCCAGCATTAAAATTAAGATTTAAAACAATCAATAACTCGAGATCTATTCCTAGAATAATCAGTTATTGAATTGAATAATCTCAATTAAAACTGGATCTGAGCAATACCTTTCCAGATCTAACTCAAATTTGAGCTCAAGAAGTTATTAGATAGATTTAGGCATTAAACACAAATTGAAATCATCAAATCAATAGAAATGAAGAAGAAATAACTATATATATATATATATATATATGAATCGCTGAAAATACATCAAGTTTGAAGATTTACCTTCAATTCCACAAAAGTTTAGTTGTTCATTGCAACTATAACATCAAGTAAAAGAGTAAAAATGACTTCTAAAACTTAAATATGAATGTTCCCACTCCTTCTCCATATGCTCTGTTGCTTCTCTTTCTCTCTAAAACTCTTATTAAACAGTAACTGGCCTAAAGAACACAACTTGTCCCTTTTATACATGTTTGGATGAAGCTATTCTCACTAAAATGCCATACTCTCTTTGTAGCGAGAACTAAAAGTAAATATTTGGTCATTCTACTTGTTTCTTACTGCAGTGACATATGTCTCGCTACAACGAGAGAATACACTCTCGCTACAGTGACAAATTTCTCGCTATAGCGAGAAGATCATAGAACCAACTCTTTTTCAAAATGAATCCTACATCATTTTCAAGTTTCAAATATTTGCTTTAAGTCTTCAAAGTTCTTCAACGTGTGAGATGTTTCTTCCTTTAATTCAACTACAAAATACATTAAAAAGAAATCAAAACATTTAAAATGTCATTCATTTTCTGAAATAAACAAGTAATTGTAAAAAATCCAAGTTTAGGGAGAATTGAATAAAAAATTCAACACTTCAATATAAAAAGTGTCCCAAAATATCACCTAAAACTACTCAATTTATACATTTATCAGAAACAAATAATAGTTTCAAGATGCATTAATTGCTAAATTTATTTTTTATCCTTCTTTTATTAGTATCATTAAATATAAAAATTACTAAATACACCATTTAATATCATGGGTATTTTTGGAATAAAATTTATATTTATGAAAAACATAACTGATTTAATTGTTTTCCTTGGTCTTGATGATTTAATCTTTTGTTTCTTATAAAAAGAAATGAAGGTAGTATTTCTATATTGATATATATGTCATAACACATGTATTATATCACATTAATCAATATGTCACAATACATGTGTCCTAATTGCACCTATTGATGTATTACAACATATATATCATAACAATATTAATCAATATGTTACAACACATATATTATAATTACACAATTACTATACTTTATCATATCTATCACAATTTTACATTTATTGTCCCTAAGATCCCTTGAGGTCTTCCATAGGTAGATAGTCACTGTAACATAGATACAACGTTTCCCAACTCGACCACTTTCAGCAAAAGTGTAGAAGTTTAGGTCAAGAAATGAGTGTGTGGCCTATGGTGCTTTTATTCTCATTAATGATGCGCAATCAAACAAAGCATCCAACACTCTCATTTTTCCCATATTTCCAAAATCGCCTCTGCCTTCCTCACCTCTAATGTATCTCTGTGACTATATACATATTCTTATCATTTGTCATAACATTCTTTTCTCAATATTTCTCATAACATTCTCCAATTATATATTTTTCTTCCTCATTGTTTGATTAAATAAAACATGTTTAATTCACATATAGGTAATAAAATACATTTCTTCATTATTAATTTACTTCAATTCAATCTTTTAAAATAAACATCAACTTTAAACAAAATCTAAGTCCACCACAATGTTATTTTAATACAAATAATCATCAATCAATTTCACATTCTACAGATCAAGAAAATGTATTGGAGGTCAGACATCTTCGAACTTAAACTAATTGTACAATATAAATACATTGCCAAAGCTCACACTCTCTCGGTCTTAATAAAATCTTCTATCTTAAAGTTTGGCATCATTGAATATTCATAGTATGTTTATCATTCAAAGTATCAAATAGCACTCTTAACTATACATGAATAATGTTCAATAATAAAATCATAATACTTCTTAAAAATAATTTCATTCAGAGCTTTTACTATAAAATTGTATTTAGCTAGTTCTGAAAATAATCATGGATTGTTCATGTCTAAAAAAACTCTATTCCTATGCTTGATATTTTAAGAAAACATTAGGATTTTGTGATCAACTCCCCTTACTTAAAAATAGGTCGTAAGATTGCGTTCTTCGTGAGGTCTAAAAGAGATATACAATGATTTTGATGATTAATTTCGTCCTAAAGACCAAGATCTCCCTAGTATTACAAAGTAGAAAACTTCAAATAAAGAGAAAACAAAGAAATAAGATGAAAGTTGAAGAACTTAGTTCCAAGAGACTTACTTGGATCAGAACAGATGTTTAAGCTTAGATCTAGAAGAGTTTCAGGGCTCAAGAGGGTTTTCTCTAAGAATAGAAGGTGAGAGAACAGAGAGAATCAAGAGGGAAGATTGCTTGGTTCTAAATGAAAATTCTTGAACTGAAGTTCCTTAAATATATCTCCTCGCCTAGGCGAGAAAACCAAACAGAAAATATCTTCATCCTTTCTAACAGTCTCGTTTGGACGAGACCCTTCCTCGCCTTAGCAAGACCTAGTCTAGACAACTCTCATTTTTTCCTACAAGACCGCTTGGACGAGATCCCTTCTCACTTGAGGGAGAGAACAGTTGGGACAACTTTATCTTATCTCGCCTGAGCGAGATTCATCTCACTTAAGCAAGAATGGTTTAGAATTTTTTGCCCAGAAAATTTTTCTCTCGCTTGAGCGAAAATGTAATGCCCAATTTTTCATCAATTAGCTAGTAACTCTCAAATCTTAATTGCTTGTTAATTCTAATTATTAATATCAGAATAATTTACTAAATGCTGAAAATTTTCTATTTTTATTCTCTGAGGAGAATATTGACTGATCTTTAGAGTTCTGCATTTTAGAATGACTGCATGCAATACATTTAGTTTCAGTATCGTCCTAAATTATTTTGACTGTGTTCAGCTGTACTACCCAAAATACCCCTGAGAGTCTTGTCTGAAAAGATGATTTTTCTGTTATTTAAATTATTGTCAAATCATAATTATCTGCCTCAAAAAACATGAGATTTTGTAATCATTGCAAAGATTTAGTAATCATTGCATTAGATTTTTATTCATTTCTTAGCCGTCAAAATTATTACACGGAATCTTATGAAATCTAGTAATCATTACCT